ATGCAGGATTTCAATTACCTCAGCAGCAACTGCTTTGAAATCACAGTGGAGCTTAGTTGTGAAAAATTCCCACCTGAGGAAACTCTGAAGGGCTACTGGGAGGACAACAAGAACTCCCTGATCAATTACATCGAGCAGGTAAGAAAAAAGAGGATGGCAAAACTCTAGTTATTGTACATGAAACTTCTAAAATTTGTGCTGTTTGAACATCTAATTCAAAATGTCATATTAATCCTATTGATGCCTCATAATTCTTAGATGTCTCCAAGGTGGTAAATTCTGTGCGATGTTCCTAAGCATGTGGAAGAGAGGAAAAGAAGACAGTTGTTATAATACAGAATTTATTTTACCTTACTTAAGCTGTTACAGACATTTAATTTATGTGATTTTTGTTGGCTTCCTCAATGAAAAGAAATATACATCACCTGATTGTATAATTCATGCCCCCAGCACTGATGTGTGTACTAGGAGGAGACGGAATTTCCTCTACAGATAGCAGAACATGCCTACAGAGGTGGGATGAATCACGCTGGATGTACAGGGACCCCAGAGGGCTGGATGAGGCACTTCAGTGTAACGGCAGGGGACATCTCTAATCCTGCCTTTGTAGACACTGCGTTACTCTGATTGCATGAGCTGCTGATATTCAACGTAGAGCTGTCTATATGATGATTCCATTAAAAATTATACAAAATCTGGTTAGAAGTGTAAAGTGTAGTCGCAGGTTTAGATAATCTTGTGTCAATGGGTTTTTAGAAGTTAAGACTCCTTAAAGACTCCTCTGTGTGTGTTTGGGGTTTGGCTTTTTTGGTGTTTGGGTTTTTTTTGGGTTTTTTTTTTTTTTGTAATTATCTGATGCCAATGTAACAGGCTGCACTGAAATGTTTGTTCCAAACAGTGTGGCAGTTTTTAATTTCTGAAACCTGGATATTGTAGGTAAAGATCACAAATATATCTGATATCCTTAATGGCTGCACGCCTGGGATTGTGAAGTTAGAAATGTACTTTGTTAGCAGAGCCAGTCAGGTGATAAATTTATTTCTTTAAGAATTTATTTGTGCAGAAATGCTTTAGTTAGCCAGAAATCTGAAATATTTGAATATTTGGAATGCTTGAGTTGTACTGTTCTGTTAGTAAGTCGTATGTGGGCTGAGGAAAAAGCTGTATCCACCCTGCAGGTTTTTACCCATTTATTATGGAATCCATCTCAAATTGTTCAGCTCCTTTGCACATGGGTTAATTTTCTCTGACTCATGAAAAGCTATGATGTCACTGCATTTTCAAAACTACTAATGTGTAAGAGATTATTTTGCCAACTTCCTTTGCTCCTGTGGAGCTGCTGGCTTTATCCATGAAGTTCAGATGGTCTACCTGGCATTGGTTTATATCCTCTTACAGGATAAGAGGTCCAGCTCTACACTCCAGCTCCCCTGTGATTGCTGAGGACAGTGCAAATATGTACTTTCTGCTTTTCTAAGCCAGTCTGTGTCAGGCTTCTCCCACAGGGTAAATCAGAGGAATCTGGTGAACTAAATTGTAGGAGTTGAATACACCATATATATAGGTTCATAAAGGGGAACATCAAAATCTCAACATAAAATTTGTGATCCACAAGTCTTTTCAAATCCCACAGAATCAGAGGGAAGCCTGAACTCCGCAACGCTTCCCCGCTTAATTTCCAGGCTCCCAATGAGACGCATCTCTGCACAGGTTCAAGATGTCCTGGTCTCCCCAGCACCGAGAGCTCCTTATCTCAGGCTATGAAAAGGTAGTTGATCCTCAGTCTCTTGCCTCTGAGGAGCTCAGTCTGCTTTCAGACCGTGCTTAAGAAATACCAGCAGGACTGGTCTCTCCACACACTGCAGCCAAATCGGTGCTTTAATTTCACATATACTGGGAACAGACAGGTTAGGTACTCTTGGTGCTGGTGCCTGGAGTATGTTGCCTAAGAGGCAAGAAGGAACTAGGACATGACCCATCATCATCTTTCTCTCACAGGCCACGTAGGGAGTGTTGTGACTCTATGTGGTCTCAGCTCAAAAGACCTGGATGTTTTGGGTGCACAATAGAGAGCTCAAGTGTCTCACATGGGTATTGCCCATCAAAGTCCAAGTGCCCACATTTAACCTTGTCAATGTTTCACTTTTAAGCAGTTTTGTCCATTATTAGCCCTAAATTCTTAAAGTTGATGAAACTTTAAAAAAAAAAGTGTTTTTTTTTTCCTTGGGCTGTCTTTCAAAGCTTTTCAGTGCATTCATTAGTCCCCAATGACAAAGACTTTCAAATCAGTGTTCACATATATTATGATTTGCTGTATATTTCTGAGAAATGCTTTCATTTCACAGAGAAATTAGTCTAACTACCAGCTGAACTATTTTTTTCTCTTCACTGTTTCTTCCATTAAGATGTTTAGTAATTATCTTTGATAGCTGTTGGCATGTAGGCTGTGGGATTGGTGATGTGCATCGTTAGATATATCAATAGATATTTCACTGACCAAAATGCCATCTTTTCTGAAGAATTTTCCAGTGGTTTCCCATGTGTTGATGACTTTATTTACTTATTTTAGATTCATCGAGGAGTGAAGGGGTTTGTTAAAGATCTTCAGGGCAATCCAATAGCAAATGCTACAATTTCTGTGGAGGGGATAAGCCATGACATTACATCAGGTGAGTGTTGTACTTCAGCAAAAGAAGAAGTGCTGGAATATACTGCTTCTCCCTCTGCTTGGCAACCTGAAGATTTCAGATCTTGTTAGCTGAAGCTTTAAGGGAGCACAGTTTTGAAGCCAGGAAAGCAAGTTGTGTCTCAAGAAGCTTGTTGCCTACAGGATTTCATGAATCTTTCTCATGTATTTTGCTCTCGAAGCAGCTGGAGGCTGGCTTTTGGGACTTCATGGATCTCCGGTGTGGTTTGGTTCTGGTGGCTCTTGGTTATTCGTTCTTAGTTTGTCTTTTGATTTGTGGTGCAAGTAGCATTTCACAGCTCTGCCAGGATTTAAAGTCCTGTCAGCAGTGCCATGTTGAATTTGAAGACTAAATTGTAGTCCAAAACTGTTATATTACTTACAGTGCAATCATACCTTTTGATATGTAAATCCTTGACAGATTTTCAGTTTACATAACTTCCTTCTGCAAAGATAAATTCTCTCTGCTGTTTACAATTACGTGACTTTTTTTTAGAAGGGCGGTTCTAAAAGACGAAAGTATCGTGTGGGTGTTCATAGAAAATTGTGTGTCACCTCTTCGGTGCTGGTGTGCTTTATTCTAGGAATGAATTCAAAGGTAGCTCGCACAGTACCAGCTTGCAGTTTTCCCTGGAGACCTATACTTTCTTATTCTGAATGACAATTTTTCTTGGTTTTGTTTGCACAAGATACTAATTAGAAAAACAATAATAAAATGTCATTGCTTTGTGCATAAGCTTACGTTGCAGTTGTTTTCCCAATGATATGTCTTACTATACTGTTACAGAGATGCAAAATATTACGAAACAGGACTGGTAGAGCCTTCAGTTGGCTTCGATTTGTGTTCGTTCTCATGTCACCTGCAAAGAGGGCAGCATTTCTGCCGAACAGGAGAACAGCGTATGATAACATTAGCCACCTTCTTTCACTGTATGTAAGAAGGCAAAAAGTATAGAGGCTGGAAATAACTTTTCAGGGATAATAAAAAGGGAATAAGATGTGAAAAGAGGTATTTTGAGGTATGAGTGTGATGCATATGGTACTACAGCTCATGCTTCTACGGTACAAAAAAGCATCTAATCATGAATCCTCTCACATCGTTGTGTGTGTATAAGACTGGAAGTCATGTATGGTCAAAACAGTGAGGAAAACATGTACTTGAATTCTAGCACATTAAAAAAAAAGAATAAATATTCTTTGGCGGTTTTTCCCCTGCTCCTTTGTTCATAAGTTAAAATTCAGCTTTGTTCCAGTGCCAGGAATTAGAACAGATCATTATCGTAGCTCTGCAGCAGTATTTTTTTCCTTTTTGTTTTATGAAGAGAAAAGTCGGAACAACTGGACTGACTACTGACATTTTCTGACCGTGCAAATTGCAGACATTTAAGTAATATTTCCCTCTGTGCTCTGTGTAGCTGCAGATGTGCTGAAAAAGCATTTAAGGAACTGGCAGTAAGAGCATGGCCAAGTCTTTTAAATGGCACTGCAAGCTGACCTTTAGAACAGCCTTGTAATGTTTTCTGGAGATAGAGAAATTCAGAGTATTAGCCTGTGACAAAGTAGATAATTCCCCACTTCTGGTGAGTCTGTGAAAATGGAGAGGGTCGTTTCTAGAGAAGAGGGTGATTTGTTTTTATTCTGTGACAGAAAAAGATGATCTGCAGTAACACTCAGTGCAGTAGGAGCCTTTCTTTGACCTGAGTTGATCAAACTTTCATTTCGTTGTTTAGCTAAACAGAAGAAAAAAGCCCTAGACATTGCGTGGATATTGAAACATGTCGATAATGATGCTTCAGGGGTGATACACGTGGAATATTCTAGGAAATGATGATTTACAGCTTTCTCTGCAAGATAAATCGAGAAAAGTGGTCCTGTTTATTTGAATTTGGTAGTAATAAAGTGTATTTACATTTGGCTTTTCAGCATACTGAGGGACATTAAAAATTCACATTGCATTGCAAACTGAAACTCAAGACACTTAACAAGAGCTGCACATTGGCCAGGGGATGCTTCTGAAGTAGAATAATGTCCCATATTGTTCTTTTCTTTAGTGTGCTGGAGAGCCTTCAGCCTCAGCAGGCAAAATCTTCCACGGAGGCTACAGCACAACTTCAGACTTTAAATCTGTGTTTTGGTTACAAGAAAAGAAGAAAATCTGTAATGATATATTTATACAGCCCTTACAGAAGAATCCTTTCATACAAACAAAAGGAAAGGGCTGACAGGAATACAAAAGACTTTGACAAGATATATGGCCCCTTCTCCTTAGCTGTGTAACTAGTTTTATACATATTTATTTGTTTTTTTTTTTCTTTTCCTTCTTCTCTACAGCCAAGGATGGTGATTACTGGAGATTGCTTGTTCCTGGAAATTACAAACTTACAGCCTCAGCACCAGGCTATCTAGCAATAACTAAAAAAGTGGCTGTGCCCTTTAGCCCTGCCATTGTGGTAAGTGCTCATGTGTATGTTGATTTATCATCTATTATATATAAAAAAAAAAGTCTCTTACTTTTTTTCCTTCATGGTAAAAGGAGGTGATTGTTCAGAATACGCTAATTTAGAAGACAGTCTGGAAATCTAAACTTCTAGTACTTGCTGCACAAGCAACTGGGAGTAATCTCGTCGTAAACTCATTTCATCTCCTGTTGGGTTTATTTAAAATAAAAAGACACAGAGAGGGGTAATACTGAGGTACTTACACTTTTTTTTTTTTTAATTGGTTGATGTGTGACTAGACAGTCATATAAAAGATTATGGAATATCTTTAAATAGCGCACTGTAAAAAGTGAGAGATGTTGAGGTTTTCATTGAGACTTGATATTTTTAATCTAAACTGTCAAAGTGACTACCTCCAGGGGTTAAAACTAGTGTTCAGCTCTGTGCAGAAAGATAGAGATAGTGATGGAGCTCTGCTTTGTGTAGATAGCCAACATGTATAATGAATAAGACATAGGCTGCATCTAAGAGTTCAGAAGCATCTTTAATTCATCCTCTGTACAGGTGTGGATTCCACTCTTAACAATTAAAATAAATGCTTATTTCTCTAGTGTGTATCATATGCTAGGATACACTACGCTAGCACCTAAACCATAATGTGATTCTATATGCTAGAAGATTTTTGTGGCTGGCTATTACTCAAATTTAATTTCATTGACCCATATTTTTTTGAAGTGTTTAGGCAGGTGAAAACTGGACAAATGTCTGGTTTCTTTTGGAAATGTCACTCACTTATGTGTATTTTGTAAATAAGTTTATTGTACTGATGGGCTAGTATTGCGCATATTTAAATCAGCCCTGAGAGACTTTGGAATAAACCTAGCCTAAAATGGAAGGTACCTCCCTAAGCTCCATGTCTGTGTTAAACAACTGCTTTCAATAAATGACTCTTAAAAGCCTACGCTTCTCTCTCTCTCCAAATCCTACCAATGTTTTTGATTGTTTCTCTTAGGTTGATTTCGAACTGGAGTCGCTGTCTGAAAGAAAAGAAGAGGAGAAAGAAGAGTTGATGGAATGGTGGAAGATGATGTCAGAAACACTAAATTTTTAAATGAAGATTTTTGCTTTACAGCTTTTATTCTATTATATGTTGACTTAGTATAATGTACTGTGGAAGGTCGCTATATTCTAGATTTTGTGCACTTCACAATAATTAACTTTGAATTTTTCAGTCATCTTTTGATTAATATGATTATGAATAACTACTAGCCTCCTAGCTGTCTAAATAAGTTATTAATTTTCTTTCATATTGTTATAGAAAATTTACTCTTATATACAAATCAGAAAAAATGAGTGAATGTCTCTGCAGCCTATATGGAAGTACAGTCTGTTGTGTATTATTTGCAAGTTCAGAATATGTAGGTTAACTCTTGATTTTAAAAAAGAAATATGCTGTAGTCAATTCCCAATACTGCCAGAAATATTTGACAGTGCATAGTAGTAGACAGTGCTCTTTACTGAGTTCTATAATGGATGTTATTGAAAAGATTTATAATAACAGTGTGTGGTGTAATAATGTTTTACAAGATTAAAATTCAGTATAACATTTTGTATGTCTCTGGTGTTGAGGCTATTTAACTGTGTAGGAAACATAAGCTGACTTCATTTTAGTACGCAGAAGGAATCTACGTAAGCTCTTTTGTTAAAGATGGCATGGAGTAAATTCAGGAAAGAGCAGAGCTTTATTCCTTAAACTGTTAATGATATTTCAAGATCATTTTTTAATTATTTCTCATTACTTCCTAACCAAATGAAAAATTATGAATGGGCAAAGAAGAGGAGCTTGTGCATCTCTTTAATACACTGCTTGTGTTTTACAGCAAGAAAAAAAAAAATCATTTCAGGTGACGTCTGTTTTAATTGGATAACTACCTTTTCAACAATCCTTATATGTGTCAGTGGTGTATTCATATGTTCACCAAAAGCTACCAAAACATTGCAGTTTAGACAATGAACTGGAAGTCTATTGAGGACACGCATTTAGTCTCACAAGCCAAGAATGGTTTTGTTTCCAAGTTTGTTTCTTCTGCTGGTTAGTCTTATCTAACACTAGAAGGAAGATATGTAAGTGAGAAATTTTTCAGTGTGTGACATTTTCCCAAAATGCTTGAAGATGATAAAAAAGCAAATTTGATTGAAAAAGATCCTTTCTCCCATTATTTTTAGTATGCTTGAATTAACTTGCTTTAGTATTTTGTCTATGAGTGAAATTTGCAGAGTCAGAGAATACACATGAACTGTAGTGGGTGCAAGTTTGGTATAATTCTTCTGAAACCACTGCCGGTATGCTACTTGATAGCAGTTTAGTATCTCATCTGTTTGAAAGCTTACACATTGTTGCTGGTCTGTTTTAATTCAAGATCAGATGTTCAATACAGATTTCCTTCCTCTGTTTTTTTAGTATCACTGTCTGTGTTTTGATTAGCATATTATTTTAATTGATGCTGTAGGAATTCAGTACCATTCAGAACCAACCAACAATGCACTATCATGCTCCTGCCGTAAGTGAAAAATCACATGCTCAGGAGTAGCATCCATATTTACCTCCTTTGGGTATTTAAGAATCTACTGAAAATACTGCTTTTTGAGAATTTGAAATTCTTTAATAAAAATAGCACTTGATCCTTTAAAGTAACAGGCTTAATTTTTGACATGGATTGATAAATGGAACAGCAATAAAAAGGCATTAACTTTCTCTGATCAAGAGTTTGCTATGTAACCTGTAGCTGATTTGGGTAGTAGATACTTAATTCCAAACTTCAGGGGACCTTCACTTGCTGTAAGTCATTAAGCAGTGATGAACTTCAAATCTCCATTGTGGTGAGGAACCCCTGCAGTAAACGAAGAATCGTATCTGAACATGTCTTGATAACTTGTGGCTGTGCACAAGAGCGTGGGTGGAGGATGCTCAGTTACACCGACTTGGGTGTTTATAACAATTAAAAAAGCTCAGACATGTAGCACAAAAAACACACTGTGTCTGGAAGTAACAATACTGTTTTGGCTGAACCAGGTAAAATCGAAGCAAATAGTACAAAAATGGGTTAAAACAAGAGACTGCTGGCATGTGGGCAAATGGCTACAGGAGTGTTTCTGATCTATAAACTAATGTAATAATGCAAGTGTATATTTGTGCAGAACACCCTACTATGCCCCTTCCAAACCTAACAATTTTAATCCAAACAATATTACTACATGGTGCGATGCCTGTCATGCATCCAGTCTTCCCGTGTGGTGGATTGTGTAGCATAGTTAGTGCAGACATTACATCAAAGTGATCTCATAACAGATTTCTAATCCTTACTTGTATTACATGTGTGAGATCCTCTGGTCTACCATTTCATGCATTTGTGATTAAATGTAGTGTCCCTTAAATGATCTCTTCATTTTGCTCTAGAAGACTGCTTGCTATTACTGTGCTGAGAACAAGTTAAAGTGATTAAATGTTACAACACCAGAACCACTGCCACTGTTCTTGCTGCAGGTGAACATCCTTAAGAACAGCATAGCCCGGACTCTCGATAAGTGAATTCATTATGTAGCTTTCCTAGCTGAACTGAGCTGTGTTGTAGGACTGTGTATGTTTAAATGGAAGATTAAAGTGTTGTGTGATGCTGAGCTTTTGGTTAAAAAGGCACATGCTGTGCTATTGTACAATAAATCTACAGGTTTATTTAAAATGTAAAATGTGTGAATAATTTACAGGTTCAAAATGTGACCTCTTTGGCCGTGCGTGTCTGCAAAGTATGCCATAAACATCCTCAGTGAGGTGCATGTGCCAATTAGTTTGCTGTTTGAACAGAGAAACGAGACTGGGATTAGTGCCGGTATCCCATTGAGAGCCATCCATAGCCCCTTAACTTTGTGCCAGAACATCCTCCTTTGGGAGCGTACATCTTTCTGACCACTTTTCCCATGCAGGTTTTCAAGTAAAGTCATGGATAAGAACGAGATGCTCTGCATCCATGCAGGGTTGGTGAGGACAGGGCATAAACTTTTGCATCTCTCTCCTTTCCACAGTATTTACAAATCTATTCTTTTTCCATATCAGTCCTCAGGATTAGAAAGCACAGTGTGCAGTGTGTTTGCAAACCTGCAGTATTATGCATGCCTTATAACTACAGTGGTCAGGATTATAGTAATGAAGTAAGTCAAATAAAATCACTGTGTCTGAATTATGTTTCCCTTTTCCTAGGTTGTGGTGTTCATGTTGATGTATGTGAATTCATGCATAGTCCTGGCTATTCCTGAGCTGATAATAGCACACATTAAAGTGTAAATTAAGACTGAGATGGTATGTAAGAAAGAATTGCTACCAAGTTTCTTTCTCTGAGTTTTTTTGATAGATCTAATTGGTGTGTTAGGAACACTTAATAACTAGCCCATGAGAGGAAAGAGGATTCAGAGAAGGATGACAGGTATGTTTAGAGAAGTTGGAAAATAAAGTTAAAAGGCACATTTCCCATCAGCCTGATTCAGGCTTATGGAGGGTGTAGAATAGCAACAGTTTAATGTCTGCCTCTCTAAGAGTTACGGCAGCCGTCTGGAGCTTCTCAGTAAACCTGCTTGAGTGGAGGAGTCCCTTGCTTCCTAATTGCAGTTAGCACTGGAAACGCAGGACCCAGAAACATCACTTGCTTTCTGCCTTCCTGAACCTTGCAAAAAGAGCTCATTCTGATCATCTCCTTGTGGGTATTTTCTTTTATTCCCCCTGTATGTTTCTGCTTATGTAGAGCTACATCTGTTGTGAATAATTTCTTGCTTGTTAATTTGACTCATAAGTTCGGTCATTGACCCAGCCTCTGTTCCAGTATTTCTGACTTCTATAATTAAACCCAGAAAACAAAAACACTCTGGAGATTTTCTGAAAGTCATGGCATAGAAAACCCCCGTGGGTTTGTTTGTCTCCTGGCTTGTGAAGATTTTGAGTGAGCTTGCTTCAAGTTTCCATTTTTAAAGCCTGCTTTAGGGGAAGAAGAAAATGACAACCAAGAAGCTGATGTAATCCTATGCCTCCAGGGGCTAAAGTTTTGAGCAGTATAGCAAGTATTGGAGTAGACAGTATAAAAATGAGATATTTAGAAACAACTACTGTTTACTTTTGCTAACTGTGATAATGGGAGTATATTAATTGAGTTAAATGGCCTTGCAGTGCTGATCTTTCTTCAGCCCTCCTTATTTTGCCTCTCCATGCCCCAGGCATTCTATTTCAGCAATAACTTAAACACATCCATGATTAGGCATCATTTATCACAGTGCTAGATTTTCCCTGAATTAATGGTTAATACTTCATGTTATTTTATCTTTGTCCTACTTTCATATTCTATTAAGCCACCACAGATTTTTGTAATCATGCGTCCCTCTGTGCACAGTGGAAATTGTCAAAGAGAGAAGCCGAAGAGTTTGGCTCCTGCATTGGGAATGTAGAGGGAATTTGACATCTGGGAATGCAATGGAAGCGGTTTAGTATTGTGAAATAAGTAGATTTTGTGGACCTTTTTGCTAATCATTCTTTAGTAAAGGGCTGAATAGGATTATGTGCCTATGGGATTCTAGGAGTGCAGTATGTCCGTGTGTTTAGACTTTAGGTAAAGCTACTCTGGAAAGATTCCTGTTAGTTTCACTGAGGTTTTTGTCAGACCCTCAAGCCTGAAATCTGAATAGTCAGGACTATCTGGTGCCAAGGTTGCTCATTTTGCATTAGTGGTAATTGTTCTTCGTCTTTTCCAGGAGAAAGATGCAAAATAATAACCAAGAAAAGACCGCTTTCACAAAGTGCAGAATTGGTCATGGAACTTGTTAAAAGTCATTGCAAGACCTAACGTAGAAATTGTGGAGATTAGCTGGACCTAGTGGCAACCTACAGCTCACTAAGCCTCTGAGCCGCTGCTCAGTGGAAGACAGGAGGGTAAATCAGGGTACCATTTTTGTTATATTCACCCACTCAGGGTCTGGTCAGGGCCATAATTTAGAGGCAAAATACTGAGCTAGATGAACTTCTCACCTGACTGCATCATGGCAGCGCTAGAGGAGATCACAGAGTTGCAATAGCATCCAGTAATGTGAGATTCCAGTTCATGAACTCAGAGGAGCATCTGTTCTGCGGTCCACCGTGGCGCGTGTGCTGGTGTCCAACGGTGCAGAACCAACATCCCTCCTCCGCATTCCAGCACCTCTCGCACAAAAGGTAAATTAAATACATTTCAGCAACTATGGACAAGATTCAAGAGAGGACTTGGCTGCCAAGAGCAGTACGAAATTACAGTCTGACTTCCCTCCCTTCAGCTCACTAAATATCCGCTCATGTGGCTTTCCTTGGCTGCTTCCCGTTCTCTCTCTGGGTGTGTCAAAAACTAGCCTAGCCTGAGCAGCTCAAGGATCGCTTGTGCCAAGACCCATCCGGAGTGGATTACAGGGCTTTCTTGTGTCTAAAGGTCCTAAGTTTGCACTTGCACTGTGAGGTAGGTCCTCTGTCGCATGGCCTGGCATCCTGAATTTTCCAGTCTCCCGAATGGGGACCCCAACAGTAGCTTGCTTTTGGCCTGCATGCTTAGGTTTCTTCCAGTGGAGGTAGAACACAGCTGGTATACCTCCCTGGTGGTATAGGAGAAAGGATCTGGCCTATGCTTGCCAGAGTGTGGCAGGCATACATGAGGACTTGGAGGCTGGGAAGAGTTCCTGGATCCCATAGGTTAAATGTGGTCTGACATGTGTTTTCCGAGATGTGGTCTTTGAAACTCTATCTGAAAAGGAGTAACAGTAAACCTAATACCACCTTCTTTCCCCTTCAGATTCAGGTCATTTGTTTGAAGGTTTATCATGATAGTGATATTTATCCATATATACACATATAGCAGTGTATCTGCTTTGTGTTTCCTATGAG